GGGGATTAAAATATGGGGGGGGGAGGACACACACATATGTGGACACACAATCACCTAGGCAGGCAAACAGACAGACAGACAGACAGACAGACAGACAGACAGGCAGCCAGACAGACAGACAAACGGAGAGGCACACAGACAGACAAATAGACAGACCGGCAAATACACAGACAGACAGATACAAAGACAGACAGACAGATACAAAGACAGACAAACGGAGAGGCAGACAGACAGACAAATAGACAGACCGGCAAATACACAGACAGACATATACACAGACAGACAGACAGACCGAAAGACAGACAAAAAGACAGACGGGCAGAAAAACTGAGAAGCACAATTTGCCACCGTGCACCTTCCATCGTGAGAACTTCGCTAGGATTTAAAGTGCATTGTACGAGCAGAACCAACACTAGTAACCGCAACAACAACAACAACAACAACAACAACATCAACAACAACAACAACAACTACAACAACGACAATAGCAAAAGCAACGACGACAACAGCAACAAAAACCAACAACAACAACACCACCATCAACAAAAGTAACAGCACCACCAACTTAGACGCAATAAAAACAACAATGACAGCAGCTGCCTGCCAAAAAAGGAAAACAACAACTGCCCAATAATGACAACAACAACAACAACCGCCAAACAACAACAACAACAACAACTGTCAAATAATGACAACAACAACAGCCAAAAAAAAACAACAACAACAACAACAGCCAAGTAATGACAACAATAACTGCCAAAAAATGACAACAACAACAAAAACTGCCAAAAATGACAACAACTGCCAAATAATGACATAATAATAATAATATATTATACAATCTTACCTCTGGGACAAGAACAGTCCCAATTCCGATTCACTGCATTTGGACAGGTCGATGGGACTGAGTGAAAGGGTCGGTGAGACCGGGGAGATGGGGACGGCGGGGAGGGTGTTGGTCATAATCATTGTGGCGATGGTGGAGGCCAGGGAGGGGTCAGCTACGGCCAATGGATGCTGCTGGACAGTGACTATGTCGGGGCTGAGTTCTTTCACGCTGTTCACTCCGCTGCTGGCCTCGGATTTGGGATCCAGAGCCAGGGTGACTGGTAGAGACCCAATGGTGGCGGAGGGAGGGGGTTCGCACTCCGGGAAGTGCGACTGACGTCAGAAAAAGGGGAGGCTATAAGCCCGAAGATCGATTGTCCTTTTGTTGGCGTTTCGAAGGGGAGAGAACCACCTCGCGTCTACAGATGGTTCTTTTTGTCTTCTTAACTTCACACACAGGAAGAAAATAAAAAGAAATGTCTAAGGAAGGAGCGTTATATTATGCTCCTGAAGTCCTTTGTTCCTTAACAGATTTTACAGAGTCTAAAAGATGTATGTCTTAGTAAAGACACACCACAAGTAGACTGTGTATTTACTTTGAGAAAAATGAAAGGATTTGCAAGAATTTTTTTTTTTTAATTTCGTGATAGCTCCGACACTTGGAAGAATGAGAGCTCCTGAAGGAATAAAGAACCCTCGTAAATGAAAATTGTGGACTAGTACTGCTGCAATCCTCAGAAGATAGAATCACGTTCTTAGTGGTTGTTTTCACAAGACAAGAGAAAGCTCTTGTAAAATGTTACTTCGATACCGTCGTTTTATCCGCTTGCTCTGTGGCTTAATCTGTTTTATAGCTGTTTTTGAACAACTTCCCACACTCTCTTTTTTGGAGGGAAGACGTGTCAAAGTGTCAAAAGCTGACTAATCCTTCGGTCGTTGTTTTTGGAAGAATCTCCAGAGCACGCTTGTGTGTGAAGGTGCAGATACTCCTCAGTTTGTCCAAACAAGTATTAAAATGTGTCGTTCGCAACGAACAAGAAATAGAAAAAAAGGTTTGTTTCCTTCTAGAATCACAGATAACAAGTTCTTCTCTCTGTGTCGTGGTGTTTCCTTCTTATCTGGTCAGTTCTGAGTTTCATTTGTCCTTGAAACAATGAGACAGAGTTGTCTTCTTCTTAATGTTCCTTCTTATCCTGGAGCTGTTTCGCACTCGTTTGCTCCCTACACTGAAGTAACGGAATCGACGTAACGTAATGACAATGATAATAACATTATGATAAGACCGGCCTACAGTTGATCGGGTTATATTGAGCCCCATGTATCATGCAGATGTGAAGAAAAGCGAAACTTACCAAAACGGATTAAGTGTAAAAATACAATGAGAATGTATAATTGTGCTGCACGCAAGTTGCGGCTAACGTTGAAATTTCAGTTTTGAGTTTAAAATAACTGTTGAGTCAAAATTTACTAAGAATAATTACATGAGTTACTACTCAATGGGTTTGATTTATCTGTTGTTTTTGTTGGGTTTTTTGTTCAATGTTGTTTTTTATTACTGTTTAATTGTTTATTATATTTTTTCCCATTTGAGGTTTTGTTTCCTTTGGTTGCTTTTTCTGTGGTTTAGGACAGACAAGCGAGGCGGAGGGATGTCTCAGGGTTTTATTTAGCTTTTGTTTTTGTCGTTTGTTTTTGTTGTTTTGTTTTGTTTGTTTGTTGTTGTTGGGGTTTGTTTTGTTTTTTTGGAGGGGGGGGGGTAACATTGTTGTTTTCTTGTGTTTGTTGTTGGTTGTGGTGATGTTAGTGGTTAGAAGGCCCCGCTGGTAGGTCATGCTTATTTCTCTCTCTCTCTCTCTCTCTCTCTCTCTC